AAGAAAGCTGTCTCTGGTGTGGACCAATCAGTTTCCAAGACAATGCCACATATCAGTGTTTTTTGTTTGCATTTTGACCACAAGTATTGTGGTTAATGCAGACATGATTCCTTGTAAAAGGTTTCAGTTTGGTGTTTTAACAACTTAACACCTTCTATCCAGATAAAAGGGGAAAACCCGATTCTCATAAATTGTAATACTGTAATCATGTTAAATCTGGTTTTCATAAGTGGCCATTGACACCCTCGGATCATATAATTGCAGCACCATTCCAACGTCCAGCACTTGGGGCAACTCAGCTTATGCATTCAATTCGCATCTAAAACTATACATCTACCGTGCATTTAATTAGTACTTTTACAGGCAGCGTGTGGAGAGGGGAGTTCTCCCCCCACCCCGCTCGCCCTTCACTCTCGGGCCTATGGGATGGGTCCCCCACTCGTGTGGTCACCCCACAGCCATTTCCTTAGCGACGAACAAAAGCCGCAAATCGGAGGTGGCTCACAAAACAAATAAACCGGACACCGGGGAGTAACACAACAAAACACCCACCTTTTTTATTGTTCGTCTTCTTCCCCCTTTTCTTAACTCAACAATATACACCACCTGTCAACGCCACGTAACCATAACCGTGGCGTTGACTCGGATGAGGCAGGCGAGATTTGCTGTGGGTGGCTCCAGTGGCACGCAGGGGAGTGGCCGTCTGGACCCCGGTGGAGGTCATCGCGGGCCCTTTCACAGCGGTGCTTCTCAACCTTTGTTTGGCCACTGCACTATAACCACTTGTTTAATTATTTCGTTTCAACAGAGTATCCACCCCCACCCACCACCTTTGCCTGACCCAACATAATACCGTAGTGGAAAAATAAATGTACTAATAATGAACATCAATATTTTCACCAAATGCCAATATTGAGGTGTCCGAACTATACTCTTTTGTTATTTCGGTAAAGTAACGGAGGTAGAAAAATAAAATAAAACAAAAAATAATAGATATTATTTTCTACCTACGTTACTTTACCGAAAGAACCAAAGAGTATGGATTCCTGCAGTCACGAAAGCTTCAAATCAAGAGTGTCCTAACTAGCTCGTTAAAAATAAATCAACGGACACTGCATGCATGACGTAACTTATTCGCTCTCGCTGGTTACTCTTGGAAACAACATTGTTGAACGATCAATGAGTTTTAGAAAGGTATTATCCCGTTCTAGCTTACCATATGGATGTAAATGTAATCGTGGTTATTTTATATTGGGCAGATTCATACGTGATTATTCACCAAGGACTCTCACGTGTGATATAATTTCACATTTATAAATCACCTTACGTACCCTCCACTGGACCCCAGTGGAGGGTAGGTAACCCTCGGGTGAGAACCACTGGCTTACAGAGTTGTTCACCCACCACCACCACCACGGACGCCGCTTCGGGTCACAGACCCCTTCCACTGATGCTCCTGTCATGCTGGGACTGTCCACCTGGGGGATGAGGGGTCTACGACGTTGCGCTCTTTCCACCCGTGGACTGCTTAAAAAGCGCCGCTGGAACCTCAGGATCCCCTTTACATGCGCAGCTGTCGCCGACGTCGACCACGGTTTCCAGTCGCCAAAACTCTTAGAAACTCTGCGCACCATGCGTGTCTGTGTTCATTAAGCAATCGTCTCCCGCACCGACAGTTGTGCTTAATTATATCAATGTAAAAGGGGTTGGTTTTTTTTGCGAGGTTAGATCGCGTAAATATTCACGCGTCGTTAACACGCAAAACCATCGGACACAGCCAATTAGTAAGGGTCGTCACGTAAGCAAAACGTGCCAATTGGTGACTACTGTGGCACACCGGTGTGTTGGAGAGTAAACGCGCGTAACTTGAGCGCCGACGTTTTGCTGGCATTTACGATAGGCTTCGTCAGGCGATTTGCCAGAATTGTGACGGAGCTGGTTGCAATCACCAGAGAAACGTTGTTACTCAAATTGTAAATGGTCGCGGAAGCCTACATGTTTAAAGTGCCGAATTAATCGTGGATTTTATGCCCTCCCCCCACCTTAATTCGTGAAATAAACGGCGATTTCCCACCCTCCGATAATAATACATTGCTGCTGAGAAACGTTTCCCTGTTACAAATGTTTTCTTCTTCTTCTTCCTATACTCCTCGTGTCTTCATCACACACTTGCTCAATTTGCACAACTATCCCGTTAAATCGTTGACTACTCGCTAGCCAGCAGCTTTCCAGGCAAGCCGACAACAAAAATTCCCGTAGTCCCCTGAGCAGTAAACATTATAACACTGAGCGATGGGACGCGGGACGTCATGGCCATGAATTACTCATTAAGTGCGAGTCGATTTGTGTAACTCAGGGGTGGGCAAATTTTTTGACTCGCGGGCCACAATGGGTTCTACAATTTGACAGAGGGGCCGGGCCAGGAACAGATAGACGGAGTGTTTGTTTGAACTAATATAAATGACATGTAAAAATCATTACATGAAAGGATTTGGCCTTTAACAGGTAGCAAAGCATTTATTTGCAAGGCAATTTAACAAATTGCACGAACATGAACAATACAAAAACATGTCGTAACTCCCGGTCAAAGTTCGCCATCTAATGGGGAAATGGGGGCATTACAGGAGAAAGGTTAAATTTTATATTTGGATAAGTTCGGCGGGCCGGATTAAAAAGCCCAACGGGCCGTATGCGGCCCGGGGGCCGTGCTTTGCCCACGTCTGGACTGTAACTACGTGTGTCCCTAAAGTCGATGTCTGTGTGTGTGTGAGTCTATATGTGTTTGCGTGCGTGTAAGTCGATGGGTTTCTACGTGTGTGGGTCCATGTCTGTGTGTAAGTCCATGTGTGTGTCTGCCTTTTTCGCCCGGGCAACGCCGGGTACTAACCGCGAGTACTGTATATATGTCATCAGTGCCGGATTATCCTCGTAGCAAAATTATCTACAAATACTGCGGGCCCCGCACTTTCAAAGGCCCCGCGCTAAATGTTTCCAAGCTACCAATTCCGGTTCAGTGATTCTGCACTTTCTCTATTACTATAGTACTATACTGCCTTCAACTTTTACGAACGACTGGGTGTTTAATGTTAGCGATTTGCCGTATTATCTGGATGTATAGAAAATGAAAAAATACAATTACTTTACTATGCAAGTTAAACATTTGTTTTACTTTTATTAGGGCCCCTTTATTACATATGCTACAGGCCCCGCACTGGCTTAATCCGGCACTGTTTATCATGCAAATGTTATGAATCGATGCCATAAAGAAGGCTGTCTCTGTTGTGGACCAATCAGTTTCAAACACAATGCATCTCTTATCAGAGAGCATGTTTGTTTGGATGTTCACCACAAGGTGTGCTTAATGCAGTAACTTGATTCTTTGCAATAGGGATATATTTAGTGTTTGAACATCTGAACACCTGTTTTACTGCCAGAAAGGGTAAAGCCAATTTTTGTTTTTCATATACAAATGTTATGCATTTGCTAAGTTCCTCAAATGCTGGGCACTGGGGATGTTGTAAATATGCATAACTGGAGCGTCTCGTAGCCACTGAATAAATAACCAGTGTGTTAATGCCATAATCCACATTGATGAGAAATAATGGTAGAAATTAAGTATCATTATGAAATAAGTGTGCCATTGCAAATGGTTATTCAAATTTAGCTTTGAATTGAGTGAATCTCAGCGGGTTTAAACTAAAAGGAGACATCAAACCATGCCATTTCTTTGTAATCATTTATTAAAATTGCCTTCTTATGCTTGCAAACCGCTTTCCAATGCGTGGGTGGCTAATTAACTTTATATACTTAGTACTTGACTAATGAATATCTAACATTGTTATCAGGCAGTTCTACAAATGAGGCAACTTCAGTCAAAATGTATAATACTAATATTATATGGAGGTATCATTTTGAAAGTAATCACCATCAGCGTATTTATGGAATAAGTCAATAGTTTGATGTAAAAATGAATGCAATCCAGCATGGATTAAATTTTGTCCGAATACGTCCGGCACCACGGCATTGACAAATATTCCCTCAAAAGGTGAACAAGTTATTTCTATGTTGTTGAATTCCATGACATTGGCTGACATACTAAGCCCGCGTAATGCTTTTAGTGACAATTAAACATCTTTGAAGCGTCTGAAACGTAAGCCGAAATTCGTTGAAACTGCCTGTCCAAACACACCATTTAATTCTGCAAGTCAGCCTTTTTACATTCAAGTCACAGCTTGCCACTGGTGCTGTGGAGACATTGCATGCGGTTGCATTCACGTTTCTATTTTACAGTTATTCTATACATTGGTGGAGTACTATTTTCTTAGGTGCGTACAGTTGTGTGGGAGATTATATCCAAATGATAATAAACGTACAGCCCTTTGTAAATCCACTGCTGGATGAAGGTCTCTCTCCCACACCGTTCCAATCATGAGGGCTGTTTGACCATACTTCACCATGCTGCTCAGTGTGGGTTGAAGGGGGTATACAGGACCGAATCGGGTATCACTCATTCAGATATCAGTCATGACCAGGAGTTGAATACAGGTTTATGGATAAAAAGCACAATTTGCCAACCGGTACTCCCCACAATCATACATAATACCATACCTCAGTGGTGCTTTGCCAACTTCATCTTAACCTTCACTCAGCATGTTGTGCCATTATTGTTACTCTTAAAGACACACTTCACACCTCCCTTCTTAAGGAGACCGGTAGCCTCCGTACAAAACATTCCTGTCATGTCAAAAGACTGTGGCTTCACAGGTGAAAGCACTTAGTTCCTGAATTGTCCCATGTTGTAGAGGTTATGCGTAGGCACAGACTACAAATATCAGAGGTTGAAAAAGCTGCAATAGTAATCGTATAACAGATTAGGCAGCACTTGCAAAGTTTCAAGTGAAAAATGTTTGTGAGAAATATATATGTAACCCGTGATAAGAATATACACGGGGAAGATCAGTTGTGCCTTGGTGAAAACAAATGACACACGGAAACCCAAGCATGAAATGTTAATGTTGTTTAATTAGTTAAAACCAAGAAGTGAAATAAAGATTACACAGTGTGAAATGCAGCATTAGCTGGCCTAGCGCGCTTGGACATGACCAGTGCACACACTAATAAAATCAAAGGCAACCCGTCACATGCTACTTTCCGAATTATCCTCAAAATATAATACTCTTAGGCTTACGAGTGTAATCTCTGATAATTATTTATCCCAATTGTGTTTTTTACATACATGCAAATGTGACATTTGTAGAGTATTTCTGCACATCGTTTAATGAAAAGCAGTACTTTACCTGGTTTAATGATAACACAGCATTGTACTTTGTTCAAAGCGTTAAGGTGAATAAATAGTCGATTGTTACATGTGTATGAAAAAGCCAATCATAATGGTGAAATAGATTGACATGACACATCACAGTCATGTTTCAGCCACAAGGCACGTGTTTATAATGTGTCAATAAAACTGTAAACAGTACTAATGCAAGCACTGGCCCATTAAGTGTGAGCTAGCTATAATTGATAGACAGTATATGCTTTACTCGGAGAGCAAAAATTCGACATCTACGCTTGTATTATATTCACTGTGCAAAAGCAAACTTGACGTAATGCAGGGCTACGTCACCCACATTATTAGCTTTACAATTATTGCCTGGTTGCTGAAAATAAGCAACCTAAAGAATATGTTTAAAGTGTCATTAAGTACAAATTAAAACATTAAAGCTGTAAAATAGTCTACAAACTGCAAATACTATTTTGAATGAAAGCATGAATGATAAAAGTATGCAAAATGGAGCCAATGTACATGCACAATATAAAAAAAATATGCCCAAAATAACTGATCTTCCTTCACATATATATTTTGAAATCAAAAATTTAAATCTCGAAATAAAGCACGTCGACATCAATACATAATATAACAAAACAACAAGCATCCGAGTGAAAAAACAAACATCAGCCATATATTTTGCCTGTTTGCCAAAACAGCGTGCATGGCTTGCAACAATGCAACTGCACACCATTCTCAGTCATAACTGTCCACGGGACATTACTCTCCCCTCACCTTTCACACTTTGGAAAGCCAGCCCTAACACGCTATTTACTTGAATAGTGTTTACTTCCAAAATATTGTCAACGTTCTTTCCACCAATTTTCTTTTCTTCTTTCGGCGATGCCACACTTTGTAACTTCCCTTTGTGACACCAGCACAAGCCAGTCATTCAAAGTAATGACTGAACCGTGAAACAGCAGGCAATGCGATTCCCGTTCTTCAAATTCTTACTTCCACAGCTCTGGACACTTTAAGCTACGTGTCGTGCTGGCATTTTGCCAACGTCCACGGTGACATTGGTGTAGAGAGGTTGCCTCACTGTCTCCACGTGTCTGTACTTGAGGGTGTTGATGCCATCCCTTCCCATGTTATGTCTGGTGTTCTTGATCTGCGTGAATCTGTATGCAAACGCACAACAAACATGACACCGTAGCTCACCAACGTCAGTGCCCAGAACTGTAGTTTTACGGGAAAACATGGCACAAATGATTTTGGACCTGATCACAAGTGAATTACATTAAGCTGTAAACTAGTGGGATGTGTATTCTTGGTTCTTTCGGTAAAGTCACGTAGAAGGGAAACAATAAAATAATACAAATATAAAACAACAAAATAATAAAATATATATAATATATAAAACATATATATTTTATTATTTTGTTGTTTCCCTTCAACGTGACTTTACCGAAAGAACTAAGAATATGAATTACTGCAGTCACGAAAGCTTTAAATCAAAATATGAATCCCCTGCAGTCACGAAAGCTTTAAATCAAAATTTAGTGGGATGTGTGTCCGATTGCAATTATGTGCCCACGGGCAGGGCACGGCATGTTTACCTAACAAGTGCCATTAATTTGAAAGCATGTGCATTAATTTGAAAGCCTGTGCATTCATTTGAAGGCATGTGCAAGCTATTCATCGCAAATTTCCTTCAAGAGTTGAAAACTCTTTTTTGTACTTGGCAAACCAAATCTAAATTTTGATTTGAAGCTTTCGTGACTGCAGGGATTCATATTCTTGGTTTTTTCGGTAAGTCACGTGACTTTACTGAAATAACCAAGGATATGAAACCAAATCTTATTCGGATTTTTTTTTATTAAGCTCTACATTTTATATGGTAAAGTATTGCGATGCCCTCTTTAGTGGGGGGCGAGTTTTTACTCAAAAAATAAATAGAATGAAACTGAATTTTTTTTTTACGTTGTCACATTGTAATTTTACTGTTTTCAATACATATTTTTTTTACAAATATTTTCCTTGTACGATGTTTTGTTTTAATTATCTCTTCCTTAATGTGGAAAACATCTGTGTACAAATTTGTCGAGGGCGCTATACAACCCCTGAACGTAATTTTATCGACATACGTCAACATGCATGAAGCTCCACAAAACAGGTTTTTTTCACTGGCAAGTGTGCATTACAGAGGAGATGTTAAAATAGCTCATTAATATGTGTATCATTATTGAAAAAAGAATGACATTTCTTCAATGTAAATATTTATTTTACAAAACTAGATTGTATTTACCCATTGGAATTTATCCGATTAGTTTTGTTTAACCAAGACTGCACAAGACTGATTGGTAGAGCCTGGAGGATAAGATGGACCTTCCTCAGCTCTAGCCAACTTATCAAACTTAGTCTCTCTCCTCTTTGGTTTGGAGGCCCTGCACTGCCACTCTGCACTCTCTGCCCCATCGTTCCAATGATGAAATGACAGTAAACGAAAACTGTGGATCAACAAACCCAAAGAGAGAGCCCTAGAGAAGGTTGTCCCACCCTGACAGGTGGCAGGCTGTCTGCAAACGAAATAGGGCATTGCCATCTTGGGAGGACATAAACCAATGTTAGGTGAGGTTCAAATGGAGGGGACGAAATGTGGTCTCTCGCCCAAGGGAATGCCTCCACTGTGCCTAGCAGATGAAGTATCTTTAAGGCCAATGAGGAGAGTGGCATGACCATGTTCCAGTGACGAACACCTTGCCCTGGTCAGTCCTGGTGGGGCCAGGAGTCACTTGTTGGTGAAGCGACTGCATTGTCTGTGTCCAAAAGGTTTTGCAGTAAAAGTCCTGGCATTCCAAGTACCCCCCCTCCCACCCCAGTTATGTTGTCATCAAGGCTAAGGGTATGAGGTATATAAGTAAAGTTACGTATGAGGTATATAGGTAACGTTACATTTGTTGACCAGGTGAGATCTGACGAGAGGGTGGTGACATGGCCTAGAGGTAGTGTATTCACCACTTGTTGCCGAAGGTTCATGGTTCGAATCCAGCGGCTGCCACTAGCTCTCCGGTCCGCAGACCAGATTCTGCAAGAAAAACTTCTTTGCCAATTTTCCGTCAGCCGTCACATGGCAGCCGACGACGAGGCTAGACAAACGTCTTCCACTCCTCCCTTATTCTGTTCCTGTCAATCGCTTGCTGTAGACCTACAGGAACATCGTCATGCCAATTTATGGAAAATTACCGAGCACACGTGCGATGATGCGGTTGGTCGCAACGTAATGTGGGCAACGCATGCCCAGTGTTGAATTAAAACACTAACAAGATTGTAGATAAAGAATTTAAGGTTGAATCGGCTTCTTTAACATCTCGTCTCTTGTCATGCCTGAAGCCAGTCAGGTTTCACGCATGCTAGGCTTTGCGTAGGTGATATACTCATAAGTAATACAGTGTGTAAATACTTGAATGTTTTGTGAAAACTAAGATCTAAGAGGGTGTGATGAGCCCTACACCCTCTTAGATCTTAGATGCCACCACATGGTGTGTGCGCAGGTATAGGAAAAGAATGCTTATGCTGTGTGGGTCATGAATTCAGCTGGAAAAGGGAGAAGATTTACATACACACAATTTGTTAAAATATGGGTGCCCAACCTAGTGACTTACCGCTTGGGATTGGGCTCATTTTTGGCATCTCTTGCATGCTTTACCATTCTGTAGCGTCCCAGACTTCCGTCGGGTCGAGACAGCCTCATTCCCTGAACAACAACCCTGCAAATAAATCTATCCATTAGCCAAAGCTAATGCAAGCTCAAGAACTACACCTCTGCAGAATACAACAAAAAGTGGCTGCATGTAACAGTTTAAAAAAAAGTCAGTAAAAATAGCCCCATTGCAAGCGTAATTTTTTGTTTTAATAAACTTTGATTATAACAAATGTAGAATTTTTTTTTAAACCTATCAGTATGTCTGGCAATTGGTCTCTGCCATCTCAGTTTTTTTTACTTCCCGAGCACTCTTGTACAACAATTTAGGCTCATGAGTGTTCACTCAGTTTGCAAATAAATGGTTGGGTAGATGGCACAGTGGGCACATTGCACTTTGGCCTCGGCAACCTGAGTTCTATTCTTGGCCCTGGCTAACACCAGTGGCGAGTGATATGTGAACTGATCTAGGGCCACTCTTCACCAACCCGCATTGAGTGCCAGTGAGGCATGACCAAACAACCCCCATGACTTGAGTGTTGAGAGGCTCTCATTCAGTAGTGGATTTACAAAGGGCTGCAAATGAATACTACGATTTTTAAAGATTGTTTCAAAGTTATTGTACTTGAATTTATTATGTTCTGCATTTCAGTAAATTGAATATCAGATGTGACGCCATATGGATGAGTTGACCAGGAGGGATTACCAAATGTCCGAGTCATCAGATTAAAAGGGCAATGCAACCTACCATCACTAGATTTCTGCAACTTTAAATCATTAATGCCTGCAAGGCATTTCACTGGTTACAAAAAAAACTACACGTCTTCAAATACGTTTCCAAATTTTTTATTCAAAAACTGAAATTAAATGTACGTACGCCATTTTATGGAGACCTGTTGAAACGGTTGTGATCATTGTCACGACATACCAAGGGAACATATCAGTAAACTTGCGCATGACCTGCTAGTCGTACTTAACAGTGTAAAAGGAATTTGAATAGCACACCGCTTAATGTCATGACATGAGTAACTGTCAGCATCAGTGAACTTCAAAAATCAATAGTGTACAGTAGAGGTAAGAAGCAATTCCTTTTACGTTTTTGTGATAAATGTTGGTACTTTGACCTGTTGGTTTTATAGATGAAGCAAGAATAAATATAATCCCTGCTCCAACCTTTTCTGTTTAGATTGAAACATTTTATAGGTGGGTGGAAATCAGCTGCAATTTTTGTTTACAGGTAATCATTCATACGACATGCAACGTATTTAGTATATCATTATACTTAGACAACTAATTGTCTCAAAGTTGTCTGTCATTTAATTTTAAATATTATTTCTTCCAACGATAGCTAATTCTATAAAAAAATGTGCTTTAAGATACGTAACAAACAAAATACAATGAAAAGAACAATGAAAAGAACAGTAATGCATACGTATTAGCCATCACTGTGCCGTACCTGTTGTAAATGTCATCGTCCTCGCCACCCCATCCCCAGTATTCATTGGGAAATCCATTTATCTTCAGGTACTGTGCCTTGGAGAGGCCCGACACTCCACCGAAGTACGAGTTGTACGGCAGCCTGGTGGAACGAGATGGAACAACACAGGCAATGATTGCCAGAAGTGCTTGCTCTCTTTGATGCAGGTGGTAAACCAAACGGTAAAGTCACGTAGAATGAGAATAAAATAATAAATTGATAAAATAAAAGAACACAATAAAATTCTCACGACGTTTCGGCCACAACACAAATTTTATTGTGTTATTTTATTTTATCAATTTATTATTTTATTCTCATTCTACGTGACTTTACCGAAAGAACTAAAGAAGATGAATCCTTGCAGTCACGAAAGCTTTAAATCGAAATTTAAACCAAACGGTATTCTAGGATTCATCGTAAATACGAAGCATGTAACTATCTACGAAAATCAGAATCATAATATTTATTTATACTGGAGAAATCCGATGAGCAATTAAGCTCTTTTCACAGATATCCAGTAGGGGCGGGTAATAACGTTAAAACAACAAACAGTAGTGCAAAGTACACGGGAAACAAATCACCCAAACACGTACACATAAAAGCCTGATCAGAGTTGATTGTTACAATGTGGTACACACATTGAATGATTATTTGAGAATCGATTACTCATGATAAATGCAGATTATATTTACATCAGGGATTCTGCTTCAATTGGGATTATCAAGGCTCGACTTAAAACCTTCCTGTTCAATACTTGATTTTATCATTCGGCTTTCTTTTTTTATACATATTTTTTTTATAACCAAGGGTTGTTATGCTCATCGTGTTATTTTATGATCATTGTGTACAGCGCTCTGTAATACCTGACACAGGTGTGATATAAGTCTGATCTGTTATTATATACAAATAGTATCTGTAGGCGAATTGAAATGTTTTGCAAATACCATCTTCAGTTTGACAGAAGCAAAAAGGTCGTGACACAGCATATAAGCAGACGCAGCAAAAATGCAAACAGGCGAGTACAAATGAGACCAAAAACAAAAGAATCTTGACCGACATAGTGACATAAAAAATCACGATAATATATCCAATTGCAGGGCAATGAGGGTGTCAATAAAAAACGCGCCTCAAATACCTATTTTGAACTTGTAAACCAGACACCTATATATATAAGAAAGTCCAAAATTGTGTGTGGGTTTGTGGGTTTGTGTGCGGGTTTGTCTGTGGTCGCGTGCTTGACTCTCCCACGGTGGGGTTTACGTAAAAAAAAATAGCCAGGTACCATGCCGTAAGCCCCGCGGTGGGCAAGCGCTATTCCTTTTTCAAGGAAACGCTATACTTGTTCCTATGAAGAGTGCCTTAAAAATATGAAAGTGTATGTGTCAATTTTGATTTGTGTGTGTCACTTTGCCATGGGTGTAAAACCACACCTAACAAACCTTTCCACTATAAAACAATGGTTCTCACTCAACCGGGCGTATGGTGACCCCTGGGTGTAGGTTTGCAATGTCCCAGAGGGTACGTGAGGTGATTTATAAATGTGTGACATATCATACACGCGAGTCATTGGCGAATAATCATGTATCAATCTGCCAATATAAAATGCAGGCACTTCTTGACATACACATGTATGCCAAAAGCAATTTTCCCATATATTATCCTAGCCTATATCAATACAATACACACAATATAATACTCGGCCCTTAATTCTTAACCACCTGTATTCTTATTCTTGGTTCTTTCGGTAAAAGTCATGTTTCCCTTCTACGTGACTTTACCGAAAGAACCAACAACATGAATCCCTGCAGTCACGAAAGCTTTCAATCAAAATTTCACCTGTATTCTCTTGCTACAGTACACTCTCATGAATTATCCCTTCACCACCCGTGCCCTTTCCTCTCCGGATGCTCGACATCTGGCCGCTTGCGTTCTTAACTATTCCTTCACACTAGTTATCGTACCGCACTGGCTGCTGGCAACGCCATTGGGTCGCGGTGCCAGGCTAGGGGTGGCGTACGACGTTATTCCAAAAATGTCCTCGCGTACGTCAATGAAAGGTCTAAATACAAAGTGCGCCTTATTCCAAAATGGCGTACAGCAAAGGCGCGTAAACCGAGGATTTCCTGTAACTATGAAAGTGTTTAAATCCATACGGTAACCTAGAAGGATATAAAAGACCTTTCTAAACTCATTGATGGTAAACAATGTGGTTTCCATGACTCACCAGTGAGCGCGAACAAATTGCGTCACGCGTGCAGAGTGTCCGTTGATTTTTTTTTATTTCGCTTGCAGTTAACGAGTTTCATAATAGGATAATTAATAGGATAATTAATAGGATACCTCACAAAATGGACAATTGGTTAGAATATTGATGTTCATTTTTCAGGAACATATTGGGTCAGGCAAGGCGGTACCAAAAAAGGTTTGAGAACCACCGATATGAAAAGTAACCTCAAGGAAATGGAACCACAAGCATGTTTGAACATACCGCTGAACAAACAAAAAATGCTGCTCACATGGTTAGTCACACGCACTCCCATTGACGAAGCTCCACACTGGAGTAACAACACGAGCTTCTTTGTGTCACAGCCATTATTGTTGAATAGTTTCACATTTATATTCTTGGTTCTTTCGGTAAAGCCACGTAGATAAGAAATAAAAAAATAAAATTAATAAAAAGCAGAAAACCCACGACGTTTCGATCACAACAGGCGGAGAGAAAAGAGGGGGCAAGCCTCCAAATGCAACCTGCTTACAAGGGTTTTCAAAGTGAGTGGGCGGGGGACGACAGTTGCGGGAAGAGCTGTGTGGCGCATACGTCAGCCAGTGCTAATGTAGGAGTAGACAATGGGGGGAGGAAGGAGGTAGAGATAGGGGGAGAGAGAGAGGGGGTAGAGATGGGGGAGGGGGCGGCATTGCACCTCGCTACACACATCCACTGCTGACGGTAGAGGCTGACAAGAAAACATAAATCAAGTCATGACCCAAAGTGGTTGATGTCTTTCAAATGATTGATGTGTTTATAACCATCGTCTCGGTTGAAATTGTGTCTGTGCCTGTATATAAGTATGGCTTCGTGAACAAATCTTTGTTGACAGCCAGTCGCCTTGCTTTTATTATTTTTAATTTTATTTCCATCTACGTGACTTTACCGAAAGAACCAATAATATGAATTCCTGCAGTCACGAAAGTTTTAAGTCGGAATAGTTTCACATCATGGCTTTTTTTACCCTCTTCGCTGGAAACCATTTACAATCTGTCACGTGCTGCAATGGGGCCTGTATACCTGCAGGAATGTGACTTAAAACCAACTACGTATAAGAATAAATGTGCATTTGGAACGCACATTCAATTGGGGTGCTTTCAACAGAGGCATTGCTCCTTTTAAGAACTGGCAGGGTGCAGAGAGTTCAAAGAAATAAATACATTAAATATGCCCTTTAAGGGCAAATAAATAACACTTGGCAATCTGTGCAGGCACTGTACCCAGCTTCGGCACTGTAGCCAGCTTTAATACCGATTATGTTTAGCAATCGGCATGAATTTAGTCACATTGTGATTTTCCATTACCAACGTTAGCACTTTTACTATCAAAAAGACTGTGCTTAAAATATTGAGCATCCGAGAGAAAACCAGGTTCTCGTAAAACAAATTTTCAAACAAAAGAAAAGTGTATTCTTTGGGTCTTTCGGTAAAGCCACGTAGATAGAAAAATAATAAAAAGTGTACGGAATTTTAATTTAAACTCTTATGGTTTTAAGCCCAAGTTATTCCAATTATACCATGAGTATAATGTCATAAGACAAAGACCTATCAGTCAATTGTCTGAGTAAGATGTCAAAGAATTACTTCTAAACATCCATTCAAGTTACCTTTTTTAATTCGTATAATAGGCAGCGCACTTTTCCATACTTCTTGCTATACAGATATTCATCACATGGCAATCAAACAAAGACTTCTCTTTGTCAGAGCTGGAAATGTAAAACGATTGACGGCGGTGCTACACTGTGGGCAGAAGAGGGTAGTGTGACAAAATCAACTGTCGGTCTGTATTTTCTATCCTCCCATGTCAATGCTCTCTGAATTCCAAAACCTGACCAGAGTGTCGTATTTATGCATATTGAACTTATTTTGCACGGTACGTAGCCAACCGTGCTAATTGAAGGTGCGGGTATAGTCAATGGCTTCCGTGACGCACACAAAAGGGCTGTGCATGTGCTTGCAAATGCTTGTATAAATGCAGCTACAATGACAAACTTTAATCTTGACTTAAAGCTTTCGTGACTGCAGGAATTTATACTCTTTGGGTCTTTCGGTAAAGTCATGTGGATAGAAAAATAATGACAAACTTAGAAGACGTTCCTCACAGGGGCTCGAAATTGGTTCGACACTGGCACGAACAACCCCGTACCGGAAGCTGAACTTGTCCATGGCGACGGAGAAGTGCCGGGGGTTGTCGTAGCAGCGGTAGAGGTTGCGGTCGTCCATGGGCACCAGGTCGACGTCGCTGAAGATGAAACAGTCGTAGGGGGCGTCCTTGAGCGCCTCCACGTAGCCGATGTTCATAAGCTTGGCTCGGTTGAACATGCCCTCTCCAAACTGCAGCCACCACACACACAAGCCAAAGTATGTGTGACTTTCAAATTCCAATTCAAATATAGGGTTGCCATCTCTGATGTGAAAGACCCAACGCAAGAGATGCCTGGGTTTGATCTTCCACGAAGCTCATGGTCCACCCTAAACCACATCCACACAAACCTTGGCAGATGTGGATACCTGACGCACACATTGAAAATTGAAAACTCTCCAGTGTGCGACTGTGGTCATCCAGAACAGGCAGTACAACATATAACGATGCAATACCAAATCCACAAATACGAACGAGAGATTACAGCGATACAATCCCGCTACTCCTGATGCTGTTAGCTGGCTTGAACACCTGAATGTTAAAGTGTAGTTGTTGCTCTACATCTACATCAGCCATATAAAAGAAGAATACTTTTGAAGTATATTAAAAATACAAGACGTATCATGTAACAAAAATCATTTCACATTACTAGAATAGGGGAAAACTACATTGGTGTATTATCACGCAAAAGACAAAAAAACGGGACATCTGGAGAGTTATATATTAATTTCTAGAAATAGCTAACTCAAATTTAGACAGGTGGCAACCAAAGTTGTCCTGGAGATGTTTAACAATGAGGAAAAGTTCCTTAATAACTAAACGTAGTTAATGGGTACTTGTACTTTATCTGTATTCTACGTCCATGCATTTTTAATGATACTAAAAGGAAATGTTAAGTTTGGCTCTCCTTCAACACAGTGAGGGAGGTGCATGTAAATCAAGCAAATAAAGTTACTGGGCATTTCCCAATGATATATTTGTTAAATGTTAATACAATATAATTAAGGTACGTGTACAGCTCTTGTACAGCTGGTTGAAGAGGGCCTGTCCACATCATTCCAGTCATGGGAGTTGTTTGACCATACTTGACCACGCTTGTGAGTGCAGGTTGGAGAAGGCAGGGACCAGTGGTTGGGAGCATATTACAGTACAATGGATTTTGCTGCACTCTCCCTTCTTGCCCACAAAACTTAGCCCATGATACGAATATTATGGCATATTTAAAATACTCCAAAGTGCATGCAGGCGTAAGGCAGTGCATTTTCAGGGCAATGAGCCAAATAACAATGGCACAGTTGTTGTGTTTTTCCACTTTCAGGGAGACTTGACATTTTTTTGGCTATGTTCCATTGCAACCTAGTGCCGTTTCTTTCCCACGATCTGACGAACCAAATTGAGGTTGACTGTGATAATAATGAAGATCAAATTATATATTACATTAAAAAGATCAGTTTATAAAGCATGTCGTTCAATTAATGATGGTTGTAACATGGCAACTCGTAACTCCAGATTTTTTTGGAGGGCAGAGATAATTTCTGGGCTTTCCAGTTTAAATGTGACGTACAGGTGGCATAGTTCAATAGGAACGATATGCTTCTGTGTAACAATTATACGCCCAGCATCACATCTCGATCATTTGATAAGCGCTCGGTGGAGTTGTGTAAAAAAAATTTGAAAAATATTATCCATTTGCAAAGGGTATTTGGGACTCCCATGCAAAATGAGTAATGAAACGGAATATGCTCCCAATCTGATAAAAATAAAGAATGTAGATCTGATAATTACGACCCAATACCCTGCTTGTTTAACGTTATCCTGAAAATGAGTCAGGTACAGTCGTATTATTCTTAGATTCAGGCACTATATGATTTAACATCTCCACTTAAATAGGATTAACGTAAATCGAAAAGCCAATGGTTGGAGTTTTAATGCATGATAGTAAATAAGATGACAATTTTAAACTAAATGGTGTAAGCCATGTCACCACCCAAATAAGGATGTAGAAATCTAAACTAAATGTCTTTTCGAATGGCAATCAACTGCATTTTATTTGCCAAGGGCGAGAGAGTGTTTGAGTGTGGGACTCCAGGGACTCCAGGGACTCCAGGGAGGCAACGTAATGGAAAGACTTACCATAATGGAAAGACTTACCATATATTTTGTCATGCCATGAGCCAATGGTATAATTATGAAACTGGCAAGAACCTTTACTTTCAGACCACACTCTATGCCACAGCTGACCAAACTACCGCCTGCAAAACCAAATATGATTTCTGTCTTGCCAGAATAAATCTATGAAGTGTTCACCTCACTGCACTGTCCTCTATTGGTCTGTTTCTTATAAAATTATCATCTTACATCTCCCTCATATGCACCTCTGTAAAATTAAACAAACTAATTGGCGACAAGGATACTGCGTTGCCAGTGGTGCAAAATGATAAATAACTCACATTCGTCAATAACACCGCCTTAAATGCCCTTCTCTTATCTCACTTCACGATAACTCTATTCAATCACTTCAATGTTTCACTACATCTGGATCTCTTATCTACAGGGCTTCTCTCACCTTAATACAACTTTATCTGCTTTAGGGTTTTTTCTTCACAACTCACGACATATCTCCATCCTCTTTTCTTTCTCGCCTCACTACACCTCCATCACTAACCTGTCGCCTTCTCTCATTTCACATCTCTTGCTACTTGCTTTACATTAGCAGGTGTGCCATGCATGGTTGTGAAATGTTCTAGTGTCACGCCTTTTCTTAACAAAGGCAACGCTATATACATTTCATAGGCTGTTAGTTGACCATTATTTTGCCTGTGGCTCTTAGCATTGTAGAAAATCTGGCTCGTGTTTTCTGGAGGTTGCCAATAGTGATGCCGGCATCATGTTAATGTTTTTGTAAAACTTTGCAGATGGCTGCGTTTTGCGGATATTGCCAAACTTGGCTTATACCCCAACACATCCAAGATGCAATTAAATGGAGAGCCCTTCTTTCCAGACAAAACAATCTAACGTGACATGTCATGACCATTTCTACTAAATAAAAACATCAGCTGCAGTAAGCATTCTATGTTTAACAATAGGAATGCCCCTTTATGCCCAAGCACTCGCAACAACTGGTGGATTTTTTTTTATTTTTCTGACTTCATTAATTGCTTGGTTCTCCACCTTGATAGAAGAACATTTTTGAACGGAAGACTGCAAAGGCAGTTTTACGATCCATAGATCACAGGTGCAGTGCCCGATCTTGCAAATTAGTGTCCTCAAAAATAATGAGAGGAATTATGCTCCATAAGAAATGGGGTTGTTTGGGCGACCGAAGAAATTTTGAAAAAAAAAATTGGGAGATGTAATTAATTGCACACCTGAAGCTCAAAAATAGAACGTCTCCATGGTTGCATGGAAATGTCACATTATCAACAGTTCCAGTCTAGTACAGTTATTACTGTTACGCACGTTAGTGTTTCAGAATTGGCTCGTGAATTCCATTTTTTTTAAATAAACCTTTCTTTCATATAGGTATTTATTTCTCTATTATATAAATAGCAATATCAATTCCATTATAAGTTGTAAATGGGCAAAATTTGGTCTTCATGAAAATAATGGAATAAAAAAAAGACAGTGGACCCCACTCCTAAATTAGCTTAGTATTTCAAGAGTAAACTGTACCTTTGGGGTGACACTTCTCGAATTACAAAAAAAACAACGAATGCACATGTTTCATACAAACAAAGCTATATAATATTTGTTTGGTCATTCATTACTACTAACAATAGACAACTTTGAAATGGGAGCAAATTTTGAATACGACTCGTGCATCCGTGTCAAATATGGACCCAAAAAAAAAGCAACTCCAACCCTGATGCCACTTGGATAGCCGAATCGAGTCCATGAGAAGTGACAAACACCTCGTGAAAGACCCGGCGCAGAAAATCCCCTCAACTGCATCCGCATAAACCATGGCAGATGCAAATACTTGATGCACGCATGGAAGATGTACATCTCTCCGGTATGCGACTGTGGTCACCCAGAACAGACCATGGAACATAAAACGACTAAATGCCCAATTCACAAATACGAAGAAGGCAATCACAGTGATGCACTCCATGATCCCCGATGCAAATATCTAGCTCAACCATCACCAACCACGCGAGATTATAAGCATCACACACATAAGTTAAACACTGTCCACATGTATATGCAGTGTTCTCTCGAATGTTTTCATTCTGTAATGTTTTATTTTTATTCCTGGTATCCCAAACCTTTGTGCTTTTTATTAACAGAGTGCGAGGTCTCAAATGTACATTTGTGCTTAGATATGTATGCTTATTTAACCTCGTGTCTCTTCAAATGTAACATCCTTATTGCAATATGCTTTTACAGGGCTTATATTTTTTCCACCATTTCCTTTGGTAGTGATGTATTTTATCCGTATATTATGAAGTATTTTATCCATCGCATCATATCTGGCAGTAACAATGGTCGAAGCCTTTCTACTGGAGACTAGATTGTGTTTAGCCTTCAAGCATGACATATCTCCTCATTTGAAATGTGGTTTAAATCCAGTGTAGGGCTGTTGCACGCTCGCACAGAGCATGTGGTTTCTTATATTTAACAGAGCTCTAAAACTGTGGCATTTCATTTTAGTCTAGAATAACTGCAGAAAAATGAATAAAAGTCCCCCCTATTCAAACATTTCTAACAAGAATACTAATTTCACACAGTAAAAACTACTCCCATTGCAAATACATACACTTTTTATTCACTTTCAAATTTTCTGCACGCTGTGGTGCAGTCTTTTGTTATCTTTTATTTTGTTCATAACTAAGAATTTCAACGTATAGCGGGCTGCCGCACAGCGTACCGGCACCAAATTCCTCTCCAAGCTCTGCCGTCCTCTATATATATGCAGGTGTTATCAGTCAACGACTGAGTGTTTAAATGCGGGAAGAAGCTGCAGCACCCGGGGGAAAAACCCACGCATGCGAGGGGGTAACACCATCCCAGGGGTCGGCAACCTGCAGCTCCGGTGCCGCTTGCGGCTCTTTAAGGACTGCTTCATGGCGTTAGTCATGTGAATTTAAGCTCTTGAAATATTCCGTTTAAAAAAAATGCTTCTTCTTGCTATTTTAGTTGCCGACCGCTGCACTTTCCCATAAATATGGAACAGGCGGAGTCCACGTTTGCT